TATCAGAAAAGGCAACCCAAGAGTACAGCCAGGAACATACAACAATGCAACAAAACTAGCAAGTAATGTATAGAAGTGACAACGAACATGTCTGCCGGTATTTCTAGTTTGACGTCGAATCTCTCTGTGTTTGCAGTAGTAACCAGGAAAATAGGGAGTCTTGCCTGTTTATTTGTTACAAACACATGAATTTAGTCGAAATTTGTTGTCCTAATAATGTGAGGTGTTTTTTTAGTGGATTGGGAAATAATTTAAAGGAATTTGTCTTGGTATTTTTAAGAGAGTGTGGCACGATTTTGGAGGAGGGGCTGAAGAAACACTGAAATTTCAGTTAGGCTATCCGGAATCCTGAACGAAAATTGTCGCCAAAACTTTCCAAATTAGAAGTGTTATTGTATCAACCCCTGCTATAATTTAATATCGCTTTTTGCACTTTAATTTTAAATGTTGTTCGGCCATAGTGTAAAGTGATATTTTATACTAGTTTAATGAGTTTTTAAGCAAGCTTTCATTTATGAAACAAATCACTTCCCCCATTTATTTCACATTCTTAATTACCAAATGACCAGGCAACATGGTCTCGTGTTTCAAATCTGGAATCATACACATCGCATTACTGGCAGATTTATCTCCATAATCATATTGGAACAAATATGTTTCCAATTCATCGTAGATTTGCCCCATCCATCATAATTTGAATGAGTCGTGTTGACAAATTTTGACGTCTGCTTAAGCTTGCATATTCTATATTACCACAGCCATTTCACTCCTGCTTTTGTCTGTTACTGTACCAAAAATATTCCGTAAAAATTCTATCGTTCATTTTACTTTCTGGCATAGAATCACAGATCCAAATATGCGCTGTCTCTTGAAAGGCGATGCTATTCATATAGCCTGGTACAAGGAACCTCACTCTAGTAAAACATATTTTCTTCCTCTCAGTGTTGCCAAGTATAGCAGAATGAATATCTCCTCATGAAATTCCTGATTTACTCTCTTTATCATTGCCTTCCACACAATATAGTTGTGATGCCAGATTCTAACTAACCCCATGGAGCAGAGTTCTTCAGAAGATAATAGTCGCTAATCTAGACGACATTTTCTCCAATTTAAATTGAACGCGAAGGTTCTTTACCATGAAGATTTCTGTCTTCTGGGTTGTTGCACCGTGTAGTATCGTAGATGTTAACCAAAGTTTCGGAGAAACATGTTGTCGCCATCTTCAGGGCTGGTTGGTACACGGTGTTACAACCCAGAACATCATCATCCTCACCGCCGTGAGAACCTCAAAGCTCACAACTGCCTCTGTTTTCTTTCTCCGCTTTCCTTCGTTCCTTCTCTGTCTTACTTTCAAGTGCTGTCATGGGCCTCGGACCTAGTTGCACAACTTTCTTTAATTTTCATTCGTGATTCAGTTCTAGCGTCTGGTCGCGTAGCAACCATCCTCTTTGAATTGAAAACTGACTGACAATATCAAGTAACAGGCATGCCAAATGGACGCCAGTTCATCTTAATGCCACCTCTGACGCCTTATGAATGCCAAACACTCTTCGACTCTTGGAATTACGTCTTTGACTCCCGTGACGTCATGACTTAGTTCTTACACGTTCGTGTTGGTCCAAGGCTACGTGAAAATTTCTCTTGATTTCTTTACTAAAAAAGGTGAATTCCGGGATTCAGCGCAGAATGATATACATGTAGATTTATGCCCCTTCTGTAATCTTGTTATGCAGAAATATAGGTTTCTTTGCTGGGTATAAAATATATTATTTCCCTAAGACGTGTATAATGAATCAGTTCTTGTAGGAATTTAATAGGCTAGCATTAATCATATGTAGGTACTAACATACGTTGTATTAACTGCTAAAGATTTCGTAGAATCCTGGATGTAAAGAAGATAAGTGGATATTTTATTTAACGCGGAATTTGCACTTAATTTCTGAATTGAATCCTTAATGGGGAGTCTGTTTTGTATACAAATTGAGTCGTCGTGACGCAGCAAGTGCCTCTGAAACGTCGCTAAATTTCTACCAAACTACCCAACACTTTTTACTCACCGCTGTGAGAACCTGAAATTTCACCTGAATTGAATATCTTCTCCGAAGAAGGCACCATAAAGGGGAAGGATGAGAGGATGGAATAAATCAATTAAAAGAATGTAGAAAGGAAGGGAGAAAGGAGGAAAAGTAATTTCTCTTGCTGACGGTATTCATTCTTACTGTGTTTCCCCTCTTATTTCGAATAGAAGACTACTCTTAGGAATTCTAATAACCCTGTCACACATTCCATACCTCGCACTGCGAGTAGCTGGAGACCACTGACATTTGTTGAACGTTTCACCCAAAATTATACTCCCACTCTCTGTGATGTGGCCATGTCGAGAAATCACAAGGGCCTTGTACAAGAAAGACATGCTGTCCTCCATTCCTGTTCTAGTGCACTCTTTGGAAACAATCGAAAATGTAACAAGACTTGAGTACACTTACATTAAAATATGGACGATGACGTACTGCAGTATACTATCAAAGGCTGCATTGTTATCAAGGGACGTTGTTGAAATTGTGTGATTGGAGATAATTATTGTAATGGTGTGGACCAAGGTCATATTTCTAACAGTGTGATGAAATACGCGACAGACAGGCATAGACGAACCACAAGGCGTTCTTCTCTTGCGCTGAAGCGTAAAGGACATCTGATAATAAATGAAGAAAATTTGGACCAAAACTATGTTCACAGACGTAAATCTTCCTGGAGTTCGAAACGAGACTGTAGATTGTACGTTCCAAGCATAAGAAGTGTAACGAACCTTCGCTCCCTTAGGGCGCAATCCCCTCCCCCGCTGTTGGACACTTTTATCCACAATCCACACCCCCTCTGGAAGCTTGCTGCATTGTTTCTCCATTTAGAGGCTCTTATGTGCGCCAGGTCGGGATGTCTATTTCTAGTCATATGATACGTCTCGTAGACAGAAATCCATAACACTTTCTTTACACTTCATGTAATTCTTCTTCTTCTTCTTACCTTTCTGTTCATTTTCGTCTCATCTTTCATCTCCTCAACCTCCTTTTACACGTGATTCTCTGCTTCCCCTTTATTCTTCCCCACTGTTCTTATTCTCCTTCTCCACATTGTCATATTTCATCTCATATTATTCTTCCTCCACTCACAGATTGTATTTTTTTGGGTGAACCTATGTCTTAAGTAATATTTAGCTGACATTTAATTAACTTCGTTTGCTCAGATAAATAGTAATTAGAGAACCGGCCTACCGTGCCTTAAACCAAATCTAGTGAGCTCTACTAGGTCCGAAAGGATGCTAATATACTGTCTGTTAGGCCATCCCTTGGCCTAATACTCACCATTAGCGTGTGTTGTAAACTATTAAATGAGGGTATGAGTTTACATATTCCATGTCTAGCCACTGAAGTAACGACGAATATAAATATATTGTACGCCGATTTGTAATTTTAGAGACTTCAGATTAAATATTTTAGAAGTAAATGCACAGAAAGTGTAACACTTTTATTGCTTTTATACGTTTTAATAAGATTTCGCCTTCTTTGTAATCTGAACAATGTTTTGTTACGTGAATAAGGATTGTGTTGGTTAATATGTTTCGAACCTTCGAACTGAAATATTCACGAGTTAAAGCTTTAAATGTGAGCTATATTTTATGTAACAGATAAAACATAGGCATAGATGGAGGGATGTCATTTAAATGGCTTCTGAAAAATAGAATGGGCTGTTATGGATTCACAAAAGCGATAATAAACTTTCGGATTCTAAAATCGCGGGTGAAATTAACTAAGTGAGCAACTGTCATATTTTAAAGGATTGATCCATAGAGCCTGGCTGTTATTTAAAGGTGGTTTTCCGTTTGTTTAATTGAGCATTACGCCATAAAGATTTATGGGGGAGTAAAGGTAAAATTACACACATTTTTAACCTCGCCCCTAGATGGAAATGGATGGTCATTTTTACCCATTGCGAGACGCACAGGGAGCCACAGAATAGCCTGTGACGTCACTGGAATTCGAATCGGATTCCTTCTGTTTTTAAGGCTAGAGTGTTACCGCTACACCAGAGTGCATGGAAATGTACGTCCGCCATATTGGTGAAATTCCCTGTTGTGTTTAAATATAAGTTGTTTATGTTTTCAGTACGTATTTTACTAGGAAAATTTTAAGTTGTGAATGTGAAGAAAGTGTACTGAAAGTTCTTGTCTTGCAGACTGGAAAACTTGTTCTAGAAGTACATTTACTCTCTTTCTGTGTACCTGTTGAAGTCTTCTTTTACGTCCTCATGCATTTAAAGCAGATGAATTTAATATCTGAAATTACGATATTCAATTGAACATTTTTATAGGATAAGGGTTACGCTGTCTATAAGCATTGTATATTGCTGATCAATTCTAGCCCTTCCGTTTGTAGATTTTTAGCTAATAAATGCTTGCTTGTTAGTAGCACAAATAGTTATGACATGCTGTCTGTTCCGTCACAGCATGCCCTTTGACCTTTGCGAATGTTGCCTGCGCTTGTTTTCCTGGGTGATGACGTAATCAAGGGGAATCCCCACGGATCGCCTTGGCGGAGTGTCTGGTTTGGAATTTTCCATGAATTTTAAAGGTTACTTTCGTGTTCAGAAACGCGTGAAAGTCTCCATGTATTTGTCGAAAAATTCGAGTAAAACTACCCAGTTTCAAATTCTTTTTAAAAATCCGCTAAGCAGTTTTCGAATTGTCGCATTCGACAGACTTACAGATATATATGACGAAGGTAGAAAAATTTCTTTTTTCGCTCTCGATTCGAACGCGCAAAGGGTATGAAGATACGTGTTGTAGTCGCAATGAATCACTTGAGGACGACAGAAATACAAACTCCTTCGAGTTCACGAAGTATATATATATATATATATATATATGTGTATATACACACTTGAGACCGTGCGATGTCGAATGTAACTAGGTCAAACACTGACAAGCAGAAAAAGAGTGTACAGACCGCCCACACCCATGACGATGGGCCCGGCGTAGGACAGGTTGTTGAGGTGGAAGCCTCTGCTTTCGTTCTTCACCCGGACTGTTCGATTGCCCCTCACTTCGTGCGCCACTGACAGCTGATCTGCATAGTAACCTGAAACACAAGCATCGCCGACCCTCTTAACGCAATCCTTTCTCATTGTCATTTGTAGAAGTGGGTTAATCCCTTATCTGCAAGTGAGCGAGGCTGCCATGGTCGGATGTTGTCGATTTTTAGACAACTGTGCTCCGTTACACGTAATTCACTTATATGTTAAGAGATGAGTCTACTATATGAAGTAATTGATTTTCAGTATTTGGGACACAGGAGTGTCTCTCGTTATTAAGTTTTCAAAATAAGTTTGACGAATTTTGCAATGCTTATTTCATAATGAAATGTTCCGAAAATTGAGGTAATATTGCATTTGATGCCTTGTGGAGTCAATAAAGTGAATAATGGAAGAGAAGAAAGGATGTGAAACGTAAGAAAAAAATGGCGTGAGATAAAAGGAAAAGAAAAGGATAGAAAGAAATGCAATGGGAAAACAGCGAGGGAGAAGGGAAGCGATGGATAAGGTCGAAAAAACTTGCATTTCAGATTGTATTACTCTTCGCCAGAACTCTTCAGTATCGATGTTGAAAATTAGGCTTATTTTTATAATTTATTAAAATTATTGGTTCGGAAAGAAAATGTTGAGTGCAGCTACAAAATTGTTTTGAAGCTCTTCTGTGCCACATGCAAGTGTTTTTGTGTTGTTAAGGTCTGTGCGTGGTTATCGTGACAGCTGATAGCCTCGCCTCATGAGGTGCAGTGCTGGATGAGGCATTTGACAGTAGAACTGATAGAAACAAATCACCTTTGGGCAGTGTCGCCATCGCAGCACTGGATTGACTATACCATACCATCAAGTACTCAAATGCCTTGAGTGTCTGAACAGTAACAAATCAGTTAACCAACCCAGATAATGCACTATAATTCTTTGTCTTTATGTTGAACTATTAATAGCAGGGAATATATTATTCGACTTGGATTAAGTGCATTTTACAAATACATTAACAGAAGCTTGCACAGAGAGTAGTCAACAAATTGAATATTTGTTTGTATGTAATGAATTTTATCCTCTCTGTGTGGATGTTAAGTATTTGAAGGAATGCTTCGTACGTTTTGCTTCAGATTTACCAAACCGTGGAAAATCCTGATGACAAAAGAGCATTACAAGGGACGCATTAAGGACTGTCTTCGATGGAGAGGAAGCCTGCTGCTTGGAGAATACACAGCCAGTGAGTCATTGGTCGATTTACTTTTTACAAAGTTAAAATCAGGTTTTCTTTCCAAGGGAATTTTTGTCCGGGATGAGGCAACGTGTCGAAACTGGCGACACGAGAGTGAAAGAAAGAATGGTAACGAGAATAAGTTAAGTTAAACTTCGTTTAGTTTGTATAGAGTTTAATTCATTTACAGATTAGCGACAAAATGTCAAAGATTAATTTGTTGAGTACCGTAACGTGAAATTAAAGTTGCCTATGGTCCAAAGCACGACATCATAAAGGCGTGTATCAAGAGTGGAGAAATTCTTGACGTCGAAAAAAGGTTATGTAAGTTGTCAGTTTTTGAGCTTAAAACTGACAACTTAGCAAAGAGTTTCCAGGTATCAATTGGGCAGGAGACTCTCTGAATGCGGTAACGAGAAATTCCTGACCCCTGACCCGCCACTGGTGGGAACTTCACTCCATGGCTAGTTACTCTACTAGTGATCTCAGTTCACACTTGTTTGAAAAAAGTAATGTTCTTATGGCCTTGAATTGATTTTGTAGTAATTCTCTTTTAAATACGTGTTTTTCTCTATCAAATGTTACTTGTTAGACGCCCGCTGGACATAAATTTTCTAGGGTTAACTAATCCACCGCCAGGTTCTCAAAAAAGGTCTCTGACGTATGGAGCCTTAGAAGGGAAACTGAAGGAGATCCAAATAACTGAGTGAGAGAAAGGAAATAACTGCATTATGATGATAACAAACCCGATTCTCTCGTAACTCTGTGTTCTATGGAGTTACGAGGAACACAGCAGTTGCAAACAATGGTATTTTCTGCAAATAGTTTCTCTCGTTGCCTGCCTCATTAGTGTAATCATTCGTCTGACGTCAGTTGGATATCAGATGCAGATTCAAAGTAGTCGAGGGAGGGGCTGAGATCTGTGCGTTCGACGTCCGTTAGAAGTAAAAACCAAGGGAATCAGATCAGAGGGGTGGACGGAATAGCAGATAAGGAGGAATTTGTTGCCCAAGCTGTAAACATTATTTCCCGGCCGCGGTACTTTGTAGCTCGCTGTCTCGTTACCTGTGTCAATAATGTCTTTGGTTTATATAGCATAAGCATTTGTTTTCCTTCTACCTGCAAGTTAGTGACGTAGGCGAAATACACGGTTTGGGCCCGGGTACTTATACATGATTCTACAGGCTTGGCCCTCGCTGTAGCAAACATGTGGGAGGATTTGTATAACTTCAGCTATCGGGTGAGACCCTCGACAAAACTTTGGTCAACACCACATATTCCACGCGGCTCTCTCCCAAAATATGGAGTTGTACATTGAACTTCTGCCTAAAAACCTATGGACAGTAATTTCTGTGGATTGTGATGTTCAGTTTTTATGCATCTTGTAGAGGCATGTTGGCTAATTCGTTAGGATGAATGTGAAACGTGGCTTCATCTACTTATTTTCCATCTCGATTATACGTTTCATAAATTAATATAAGTATTCGTTCGTTTATTTATTTATTCACTGGCTGACTGTATGGAAAAGAACTCTTATTGAAAAAGCAATAGTCGCTCAGTTAGACAAAATTTTTATGATTTTTACGGGACCCGAAAGTTTACCCGTGTTCAGAGTAGCAGCTGTAATCGACTCTGTCCTGAGTCAGACGAATTCAACTCGATCAATTGTAAACCCTGATTTGAAACAATACGGGAATTTTATCAGTTAACTGAAAATGGTTTGTCATACAAAATAATTGGTGTTTGACGAAATATATTCTTATTAGGATCACATTTATTTGAAATATTATTCAGCGCTTTAAACAATCAACGATATCCCCTCTCCTCCAAAGTAATTTTGACCGTTCAGTGCGGTAAAGTACTGAGACTTATTCTGTTATCGATCTGAGTCTGTAGTAAATTAACACAGCGGTAAGATATGCAAACTCATTAGGAAAACGTGGAACTGGGTGTACGACCCAGTGAATTTGAGTGCACCTTTCTGTTCTAGACTTAATAAGCTTATGTCTGTGTTTAAAATTATTTGTTGTCAGGACTTTTTCCATCGTCTGTTTTTAAAATTCACGACGTTTCGGAGGCTGGATCTGTCTCCGTCTTCAGGTGAGAGGTGCGTACCACCGTCGTCAAAACCATTTAGAATTAAATTATGTCTGTGTATTTTATACTTTTATACTCCTTTTCACAAAGGGATAGGGATTATTTTATTTACAAACACTACGTGTTGGACAGAATATGCAAAATAGTGTAATGTAAACAATGTTGTACGTTTGTGCTTCGTTGTTGTACGAAGCCCGACATCTCATATGCATGAGGCCATTTGCGTGAGACCCACTTGTTTTGTGGATTGAAGTTCTAAATAGGCAGGGCGTAATGGAAGGGCATCACAGGAGGGCTCTGAGGTTTGAAACGAACTCTCGCTACGTGCCCACAGACGGGTTTATGGGTTCAGTCTCCCTCCTAATACGTTCGGAAGGGTGTGTGTTTTCTGGCAAAATTTGGTTAGAAACGTAGAGACAATCCGTCTCTAAATATTACTACAGTGAAAGTGAGATGGGCATGATACATAGCACGCATTCGAAATTGGAAATAGCGTAACTTCAGTTATATGTGTTTGACGTGGAACTTGCGAACACTGACGTTACTTTATGCAATTTTTACCATTCTGCAGAATATTTGTTAAGTGTTCTTGTTATAAATGTATAAAGTTTTTTTATGGGCAGTGTAATTATATTCAGTATTTCCTTTGCCATGCCTTGTTAAAAGTTTCATTGTCTTCAGAGGAAATGTAATACGGCCTTTGTTTGAGTTGCTTTGTGTGAAACTTCTACATCTTGGGGCTATATACTCTATTCCCCTTCAAGTCCTGTAACATGGTCTCGGCAGTTTTGGAAACATTGATTATGATTGTCCTACAAGGTAAAAGCAGAACATCTTCCGTTTTGAGAGTATTGGTGTAATTGGTTTATTTAAGCGCGTCGTGTTAATCATACCCGCGGTGGAATGAAAAATTGCAGGTTATCCACGTAAGATAAATTTGGAAGAACATGCCGGAGACGTTTGCAAAATAACTGTGTTTTAATATTTTTTGATTTTGGTAATGTTCAGTAAAACATCGCTAATCCGGTTCCTGTTAATCCGAAAATCGCATAATCCGGTCAGCCATGAATTTAAATAAAAATTTGAATCATCAAATTCCTTGTCATCTTCAGCTATTTATCTTGAAGTTGACTGTATTGCCAACATCTGTGTCTGAGTGTGTGTGACCGCGGTGTGAAACAAGTCTCTGCCCTTCAGACTTGAATAATGATCGAAAATGCGGTTTTTGCTTCTCTTGGATTAAACTGAAACTCCTCCCCTTATACCAGTCCGCTGAGGGGCCTAACTTTACGGGCTGGGCAAAGTTGGGAGTACGGAAAATGATGCTGCTGTGTGTAGCTGAAAGGTGATAAAACGAGAGTCGTTTCTCTCGACACGCCATTAATATATCATGATACACACAGGATCCATCCATATATCCTCTTTATTTGTGTTACATCATATACATTTGATGTCAGATATGTAGGATAAGTTTCTTTTTTAGTATATAAGATTCATTCGTAAAGATCGGCTCTGGGGCCCACCTAGTCTCTTATCCGACGCTAATCATGTGTTCACACGATTTTTTTAGATTTTGCTTGTCTGTGGCTACAGTCACGTAAGGTAATATAGTTTCTGAACGGACGGGAGGACGTAGAGGTGTACGAAAGCTAATGTCACCACAATGGCCGGATAAATGAAAGGTGCGTTATCACACGAAAGCAGAGAAATTAAAATATTTTTGCCTACCATTATTTAGAGTTAATATGTAAAAATGTGTTTTCCAGCGATGTGTAGAACTAATATTACATATAAACAGGTCGTGGACGAGCGAACGTATTTTGTTTCATTGCCTTGGTTACATTCGCATTTCATGTCAGTTTATTAAAAACGCTATGCAAACACGTTCACATGTTAATTATTTTTTTGAACAGAATTGTTGACTTGTTCTTTTCTACTGTTCACTTGGAATTAAGTAAACATTGGACAGTAACTGTTTCATTATCACGCAGAGTTATAAAGTGTTACAACAAATCATGTGTAGCACACAGAACACATTATTGGATCGCATATTGAGAATCTCTGGACTGCGCGATTTCATGCTGAATTGCTTTCATCCAATTTAGAGGAATGGGCGACTTTCCTTGGAATGAGATGTACAATACGACCGTTGTTGAAATGTTTGTGTCCCTTTGTTTACAAAGGATCGTTTGTCATATTATTATCTTCGATTAGACTATCTATACTATTTCGCCTTGTATGGATCTCGAAAATGTATCACTTTTTATATAGAAAACACGTATTAAACTCATTCTATGAGCGTTAACTCAACAACTTTACTTTTTCTCAGTTTTCGCTATAATTTTATAATATAATTTTTCTATATACCATGTACTTTGAAAAATTCTGTATTTGATAAAATTCTAGCCCCATTTTGTAAAGACTGTGTATATCAAGCCGAAGCATGTTGACAGCTTTCCCTATAATAATATTTTCTGCTGATTTTTAAACGAACGCCTGACGTATCTTGTTTAGATAGACTGCGGTACATACGTGTCGGAGAAGTTGCCGAACTGGCATGGCGCGCCGCCAAACACGCGGTGGCGGCTTACATACAGAATTTTTCTGACACGGCGTGACTCATATTTACGCCGAAACATGTCTAAATAAAGAACAGCTTATTTTACAGTGTAGATGGATACTGAAACAAACTGCAATTGCAATAACAATGCTAGCCACTCAACGATTATACTGTGTTCGGTATTTGCAGAATGATTTTCGCATTTCATTTTCCCCACAAATCTCTGCTCTTAACCTCATTATCTGTGACACTAAATAACCACTTCTGCTGACAAAGTCCTGAAATCATTTGTCACTGTTTGAATAAAGAACAAAAGCGACAGGAGTGGATGTGTTTGCATTTTATGGCCTCT